ATATTACTGATCTCATAAAAATTTTAACTAAATCGAAAATAAATCGAGGGATATGGCAAATTTCGTAATTTTCTTCAACTCTAATGGCTTAATGCACATTAGCCGTTACCGATAGGCGATTGGTTTATACGGAACCACGTCGGGCCTTCACGGATCGCGCGTGAAACCTTCGTATGGGTAGTTTGGGCCTCTAGAGCAGCCACACTCTGGTGGCCCAATGAGTTCCCCCACATTCAAGTCGCCGCCCTACAAATTTTAGCCAGTAAAAAGACGAAAAAAAAAAAAATTTGGAATAATTTTTTGCCCTATTTTTTTTTTTTATAATATCACATATTATTCATATAATCGATTATTTTTATTTATGTAAATTTTATAATATTAAATATATTCACTTATATTATTTATATGATTAATTTTTTATTTATATAAATTTTATAATATTAAATATATTTACTTATTTAATAATATATACAAATTATAAAAAATATATATAATATAAAAATATTAGGGTGCACCTCCCCAAAAGAAGCAGGTTTTGACTTTTGACCAATATAAAAACGCAAACCCCAAATGGCAAAAAAACTGACCCGTGCTGAGTGATCCACAAGCAACTTCAGCTTAGATTTTTTCTCTCACATCCTTTCCCCTGCATCCAAACAAGCTGAGAAATTCAAGAAACAGAATGATTTTATGAGAGGAAAAAACGATCGTGTATTGAATGCTAATTGATTCCGCGGAGTTCCAATATAGGTAGGTTTTATTTCGTTTCCTAATTCCCCTAAGATTAGAGGGACTCGGAGCCTTCCTTATATTATAGCTTCATTTCCGCTTCTGTTCTTCGATCGGATCTTCCTTACCTGTAATTCTTGGTACAGGTGAGAGATAGTGTAGTAATGGCGGAGCCCGGAAGTAACGCAGAAGGCGAAATCGAGCTTGTGTTGGGAGATGAAAGCATGCGGATCGGCGATTGTGGAGATTCGTTGCGGTCAAACGCGTCGTTCCTCAGCGAACTGAATCTTCTTGTGGTGTTTCTTTCGATGTTCGCGTTATCCGATGAAGAGTGTATGGATTTCGACGGGGAAGAGAAGAAAAGCGCCGGAGAACACGAGGCAAAGGCTGCTTCTGTAACAAAATTACAACCAAAAAGACGAGAAATCAATGATGGAAAGCCTCTGGGCCGACGACGATCACAAAGGTTCCAAACAACGCCTAAAGATTTCAGGTCAAGATTCCGTTGTTGAAATTTTAACACTCAATTTTTAAAATATGAGTTTGATTAATTAACAGGAGTATTCTTCTGTTTTTCAGGCATTGCAGAAGAATGTAAATGTTAATGGATGGGAATGGAGGGTTGAATATACACAAGGTGTACCAACGAACTAAGTGTAAACGAGTAAAGTATATCAGTGGTGAAAGTAAGACTCTTGAATTTGAGTGCATGACATATAGGTGAAATGTGATACCAGATGAGAGATGATTGTCTCTTATTATGTAACAAAAATTAAAATGTATGTATACTCATCAGATGTAAATAATATACACTCTTGTATGGTTATCAGGATCATAAAGGAAACCACAGAGGGGCTTAGCATACAAGCATCATGTTTTCCTTCCAAAGAGATGCACTTTGCAGTAATATGCTAAATGCTTTCTGTTTTAAAGGTTTGATGTTCTTTTAGGGTCATGCTTGGTTGTTGGAAATGATGGCATTTCAATTCATTATTGCATCTCCTTAAGCAATAGTCATAAGATTAATAATTAAGAATTAACCCCCATTTCCTAACTTTCTTAATTTTATCTAGTGGGTGTGTTTGGTTGGAGTTGGAGGTGAAACTTTCAACCCTAAATTTTTTTTTCTTTTATGAGATTATTTAGTTATTTTCATACTTTAATATTATTAAAAAGATGGTAAAAATAATATTTTTATATTTTATTTTTCCTTATACATTATCTAACTAATATTTTTTTTTATACTTTTTAAAAGAAAAGGTTTCTTTTACTCTATGGTTGGGTTGGGAAAAATGTAGGGGAAGAAAGAGGAGAGGAGAGGAGAGGAGAATTTTTTCTCTTCATTCTCTTTCATTTCTTATCCTTTTTCTCATTTGGATAAATTATTAAATTAAAAAAAAAAAAAGTAAAAGGGAATGTTTCCCCTCACTTCCTCTCTAATTTTTTTTTTTTTTTATAACTAAAAGAGAATTTTTTTTCTTCCTCTTCATTCCCAATAATTCAAACATACTATTAAACACTTTCTATGTGAAACTCATTTATTAATTTCCTTTTTATTTTTTCTTATATTATTTTTTTAACTAACATAAAAAAATTAACAATCCTATAAAATTCTAACAAAACTTTATTTTAAAATTTATCAACTATTCTTACAATATATTTTTTTAAAATAATACTTTTTCAATAAAATTAATACGAAAAAGTGTTAAATAATTTGAACTAATTTAAACTATAAAATACTAATGGTTTAATAAAAGTTAGATTCCTAACATTGGAGTACTCTCCTATTAAACATTTTCTATTTTATAATCCTAAGTAGTCTAAAACATAAAACATGATTCTCAAATTAATATCTAACCAAACACATCTAATTATATTCATGATTATCCTAAAACTAATCATTACTACCCGCCAAAGAGTTTGAAAAGTTTATGTCCATTTAAGCCACTTTTTTTGATAGAAAAAGGAGAAGGCCGTATTACCTTCCTTTTTATGGCTTTCCAACTGTAATGAAATGCGGTTTTCAAAGTCAATTTTGAGACAAAATAAGCATCACATATTATTTAATGTAAAGGTCATAGTTATGTTTGGTTGATAGAATAGTTGATTAAGAACCAGAGGTAGATCACTGTACTGATTTAACAAGCTTTCGAGTGTGATCAAAACAACACACTTGAAAGCTGAAAGTTTGCCAATTGTGATTTTGGGAATAGATTCAAAATCTTGGACTGAAGCTAAACTCAAAAATACAAACTGAAGAGGCTTTAAGTTCATCAGATAAAGAGACAAACCATATGAATTCCTCTTCCAATGGCATACAAAAAGGTTAATTGGGAAAATAAGAGTAATAAAAGAGATCCAAATAAATATTGCAGAGTAAGAAGGGAACTTTTCTCTATTTTTACGTAGGGGGATGGCAAATTGTTTCTTGCATTGTTTTCTCATACTTATTTGACAGAGCTCATGAATGAGGATAAAAGCTGCTGTGTTTTCACTAGTAAACATAGGGAATATTTATTGACACAAATTCAAACATGTTCCTAAACTCATCCTTGGAAGGACAAAATGGGAAGAAAGAAAAAACACCACTATGCTACCTTTTCTCAGTCCACTTGGCTACAAAAATAGCACACTTGTTGTCCAACAAATTCAAATGAAGATGAGCTCCCACTGCTTCAATCTGATATTTTAATTTCAACTCCTAAGATGTCCTTCACCATCTCGTATGTCACAAATGCAATTGCTATTGATGGCACAACCTGAAATGGGGAATTATTGATATTAAATAAACTGAACGAAGAGCAGCACATAGTTTGCATACTCAACTCAGTAATAAGACAGCAAACTACATTGATCATATATCAAGGTTCTTTCACTTATATAAAAGTGCAGGTAACTTCCTGTGTAAAATAAAAATGGTAGCAGTGTACTAACAAGAAACACAACCAACAAAGATAATGGGATAGCAATGGATTAATAGATGTTTCAGAAAGAAGTGTTCTTTGGATCATTTATGCCACAATCTTGGTGAGGAAAATGTTGCAAGTCAACATGCAAGAGAATATTAAGTCATAGACCTGTTATAAACATGAATGAGTAACCACTGGTTGAGGATAACGTCTAAACAAGATGTGTGTACTAAGTCATACTTTGGGTAGCATTCAGTGACCATATCAAGATTCTAGACACAAGATGAATCCAGGAGTCAGGTGACCTCATATTTCTCAGGGATTTCAACATCATCCAACCTCAAATTTTATAGACCAAACGCTCAATGGACAATCAGGTTTTTCTTGAGCCAATAACAGCAAGGACATTTGAAACCAAAGAAACATCAAATTTATCTGAAACCTTAATGTGTCTTGTGTGAGACATGATCTTTATGATGCCAGCCAATAACAACAAAATACTAACCACTAAATTTAAGACACAGATTATGTGAGAAGATAAAGATTATTATGACAGGGGCTCTATAGGCAAACTGTACAATGTTCGTATATATATATATATATATATATATACACAAACGTATAAGTGGAAAACCGACATATAAAGAGAGACTAACCTTCACAGAGTTGGGGACCAAACCCTTGTACAATGCTCCAAATCCCTCATACCGAACAGTTTTCCTGAATGCATCAATCATGCCACTATACTCAAGAGGAGCCTTACTCATCCCATCACCAGTCACAACTGAGGCAGCATTACTCCATCCTACCATCTGCATTCTTCGGCGAATGACATCAAGAGGGTAAGCGACAGTTTGACCAACTGTTCCGGCAGCAGCCCCACAAGCCAGCCTTGTTGTCACGCCCAACTCATTATCTTCAACAAGTCCAAATGGTTTAGTTTTAATTAACCAATCTTTTAGAGATTCATAAACAGCAAAGTTGAGACCCACATATGGTATCTGCATAAGTAATACAAGCAAAAGAAGGTTAGTTGTACTACTATTATCCCAGTTAGAACAGTTGAAGTTCAGTTAAACCTTGAGATTTCAATCACAAAAAATAAATGACTTACAACTCCGATGACAGATGGAACCCAGCCCTTGTACAATGCCCGTGGACCTTCTTCCCTCAGCACGGTTGACAGAGCATGGAACATTCCTCTGTACTGATAAGGAGATTTCTCTGTCTGCAAATGGAAACAAATGAAATAATAACAACTTTTGCAAACTAAGAAGCAGAAAAAAATATAATTCTTCTGAAAGAAATGAAACATGGAAGAGAGATATAGAGAATATATCTCCCAGATCTTCATGTTACAAATGTTTTAAAAAGGTGGATAGCTCCAAGAAATGAAAAATACCAGAAAATTCAATTAACATCATAGAATTTCCAGAATAATCACTGAAAAAGATAGTACCTGTACAGTGAGCCTCCCCCGTACCATGTCCATTGGGTATGTTGCAGACATGGCAATTATCCCAGCACATGCTCCAGCTCCAAGGCGTAAAACTGGGGTAAGTTGAGCATCTTCTGTAGAATTAACATAAAGAGATGATTACATGAGCATCTGAAGGACCCATGTACAGTACTCTCCTACCAAAGAACTTGTAGATTCAGAAAACAAGAGAATTACTACTTTTTCCTGAGCTAGAGTCTGAGATGATTTGTTCATCTTCACTGATGGTAGTGCTACTTCCCTATCTGCTATTGATGAAGTTTTGAAGGCATTTTATGCTCATTGTGCTCTGAAAGTCAATTACAGCAAATCTGAAATCTTTTGTAGTGGCTTATCTGATTCTGCTATTGCTTCTTTGAGTGGTGCATATGGATTTAAGGTTGGGACACTCCCAGTAAGACATCTGGGCATCCCCTTGGTCACTGGAAAGCTCTCTGAGAAGGAACTCAGGCAATTAATAGCAAAAATTACTGACAGAATGTCTTCTTGGACTGCCAAACATCTCTCTTTTGCAGGACGACTACAACTAATATCCTCTTGTCATCCAAGGAATTACAAATTTCTGGTCCTCCATTTTCATCCTTCCAAAGAAGGTTATCAAAGAAGTTGAACAAAGATGCGATGCTTTTCTCTGGAATAACACTACTGAGACAACTAGAGAGGCTAAAGTGAAATGGGAATCTTTGTGTTTTCCTAAACAAGAAGGTGGTCTAGGTATTAAAGGACTTGAACTATGGAACATTTCTTGCATAATGAGATACATCTGGAAGATTTTTTCTCAAGCAGGCTCTATTTGGGTAGCCTGGGTGCATGAGTTCCTATTGAAAAATTGCAGCTTTTGGACAGTTGAAGTTCCTGTAGATGCTTCATGGGGCAGGAGAAAAATCCTTAGGCTTTGACAAAAGACTAGAAATCTAGCCAAGCAGATTCCAGGGGATGGCAAGGACATATTCATTTGGCATGATGCTTGGCATCCAGCTGGTCAATGATGCAGCTATTCCTTATCAAGAAAAAGTGGCTGTGGCAGTGCGAGGTAATTATTGGAACTGGCCTCCAGCCCACTCTCCACAGTTAGTTCAGATTCAAGCTGATCTATGTGGCAAGCTATATCCCCAAGAGAGAATTAAAGATACTGTTGTATGGGTACCCTCAGCCTCTGGAAGATTTCATACAGGGCAGACATGGCATTGGCTAAGACAAAAGCACAGCGGGGTTTCTTGGTTCAAGCTAATATGGTTCTTGGACTCTATTCCCAAACATAGCTTTGTTGGGTGGCTGGCCATTTTGAATAGGCTTACTACTAAAGCAAGACAGAAAAAATGGACACCAAGCATCGATGATACCTGCCCTTCATGTGGCTCAGCATCAGAAACATGTGAACATATGTTTTTTAAGTGCAGTTTTTCATCTCCGATCTGGCAGACTTTATCATCCATGGCTGGCACTTTATCATCCATGGCTGGCATTCCTTTTCATGACTCCTATCTCAGTTTATTGGCTTGGGTGGGGAAAAGAATTAGTAGGAAATCTTTGCAAGTGACGCTTATAAAACTTGCATGGAATGCTGCTGTATATCATATTTGGACGGAAAAGAAATCAAAGGATTCATAAGCTAGCTCTCAAACCAGTTCAACTCATTATTGCTGAAATTCAGAGAGATGTTCGTGATAGGATTTTGGGCTTTGCTAAGCCCCATTCTTCTCCCTTGTCTCCTAGCACAGCTCATTGGTGGGGACTTGAAAATTGTGTGCAATGAAGTTTTCTTTTGAGGATTAATAGGAGTTATTTCTTTTTGGTGTTGCAGCTGCTTTTGGTGGCTTGATTTGTACTTTGACAGTTATACTGGATAAATTATATTGCAGGTAGATAAAATTGCAAAAGATGATTGCATATAGACATACCATTGCCAGTCTGCTGTCGATACAGATACAATATTCCCCTGTCATAAAGGATATTTAGGATCTCTTAGCCAAAGGCAGCACATACTAGTATTGAAATCAAAAAGGCTGGAACAGGTGTGATATGAGGACTATAACAAAACCATGAACACTATGCAATTGATGGCTCAACCAACTGGGCATGGAATCAACATCTCTTCATCAAAAGAAGCACACAAGTAGAAGCAGGTTTGTGGATACATCATTTGATTGCAATTAAAAACTTAAAAAAATATATATAAATACTAGCCTAGGGAATGAAACAAATTTCCCAATTAAATTGCAATATCACAATATGCAACATCCATCAAGCAATAAATGTTTGATCTTAAGGATCAGATGACAGGCAAAAAGCGCAGCCAATCAACAAACCATAAAGCAAGTTAAAAACAAATCAACACTACAGAAATCGTACTTGGAAGCTTGCTCATAGCTGAAGAACTTGACCGCTGAATTTGGAACAATGCGAGCACAATTAGTGCCATTGCCTTTGAATAGTCCACGTAAACCTTCAGTTCTCCAAATATACTTCAAGCCTTGAATTGTTCCATTGTACTTTATATTATGAGGATTCTGGACCTGTTTGTTCCAAGAGGTAAATCATCAACCCAAAAAATCAAAATTTATCTAAGTATTTACCAAAAATTCACTGGCAAAAGGGGAAAAAAATCATAGAAAATGGAAACAGAACTAACTTGCAATAATATTTTTAATCGTTCCAATGGGGCAACCGCAGTTCGGGACCTGCATTTAAAAGGATGCATTAACAATCTCAAGCATAAAAAATGAATTTCTGAATTAATGTTCAATCGCATCTTGTACAAAAGATCCAATTTTCTTCATTTTAAAGCATCATTCTCAAAAGCCCAAAATTGCAAAATTTCATCTTCATCCAATTTCAACCATTTCTGTGGTAATCCAGGAACATATTTCATTAACACAGACACTTCACGAGTAAAAGAGAGGGTAGAAAAAGTGCATGCATGAAAGAAAGAAAAGGCACTCACACTCCACCAGCGACACCTCCAGCCACAAGAGACTTGCAGATGGTTAAAACGGCATAGCTAGGGGCCTTGACGCCCTGTCTGGCGAGTTTGGCTTCCTCGGCGGCCAAATTAACAATCGTCGAAACCGCTGATTCACTCGTCTTCACATCCTCCGAAGCCATCAAATCCACAAAAAGAAAAAGAAAAAAAAAAAAAAAAAAAAGGATGAAGACGCAATTAGTCAAAAAAAAAGACACCTCCTTTTCTCCGGCCGGAACCCTAGTCCTTGGAAAAGAGCTTCAACGATCTCAAAGCTCCTGCGAATTCCTCGAAGGATCGATCGGCGGAAATTACAGAGAAGGGAGACTCTGCATTCGTGTCGGGTGAGTAGGTACGGGGGTGGTGACGGCTATTCGTGAAAAGTGAAAGCGAAGTCTCAACTCTCAACTTTTGGGTTGTGTGACGGCGTTTGATGGTAGAGTAGAGCGCCTTCCAGGAAATGGAATCGAAGGGATTTGTTGGACACGTGCGGCGATGCAACGACGTCGGGGGGAATTTGGGGAAATTGGTTATTATTATTATTATTCTTTGAAAATTATATTAATTTTTAATTAATTTAAAATCCAATCGCATTAAAATTTATAAAACAAACTTTTTTAATATTTATTTATTTACTCATAAATTTAAATTTAAAATTTTATTTATTTTTTTTTTTTTCACTCCAACCAATAAATTCCATCATAATCGATTATTACTTAAAACTGAAGGGATGGGATCCGCCTTGTGTAATGATGAAGGGTTCAGGGTACGGTCAAATTCACTCAGACCACACAAACACCAGTTTGTTTGGGCATTGTACAACTCCACAAATTTGAAGAGAAAAGTTGCTCATGTCAATTTTATAATTTTCTTTTTTTAGATTTGCTTAATTTTTGTCTTTAAATTATAGTTTAATAATTTATTAATTATATATTTTTATATTTATTCACTATAAAAAATTACTTTTATTTTTATAATTAATGTCACATCTATATATTTAATTAAAGAGTCGATAAAATTAATATTAATTTTTAATTTTTTTTAAATAATTCAATTCAAGAATGTGGATTCAGTTGGTTTTTAATTAAGAAAATAAATTTTTTATTTTTTATTTAAAAATATTAACTTTAGATTTTTTATTTAAAATGTTAATTTTATATTTTATATTTAAAAATACTAACTTTACATTGATTACATGAGCATCACCATTAAATTAATTTTTAAATACAAAAATATAAAAATAATATTTTTAAATACAAAATTAAAAATTTATTACTTTAATTAAAATCAACAAGGTTTACATATTTAAATAAAAAAATTATAAAATTTATATTCTTACCTACACCTTTTTGAATTATGTGTAATGAGTGCGTAAGCCACTTTTTTGTGCACCAAAAAAGTCCTATATGTTTTACTTTCACTAGAAATGTAGAAGAAGGAATTGAAAAAAAGTTAAAGATATCTGATAACTAAAATATTTAGAATAATAATGATAAAATTAAGATAATTTAATAAATTAATATGTAAGGTTTAACATTTAAAATATCAATATACATTAATTTTTACACTTTCCAATGAGAGAAAATTAAAATTTTTCCGCCCATAATTTTCGAGAATTGTAGCTTTCAATTCCAATTTCTCAAAAAAATTAGTCTACATTTCGTAGCAATCCCATCTTTCGTTTCAAAACAAAGATCTTACATCATTTTATCAATATTGGTGTTTTTTTTTTAATGAATATAGTGGGGGATTTGAAATGTGAACCTCAAATTTATTTTTGCAAAGGTCTAATAAATAACCTTTTTTATTTTTAATTTAATAGTAAATTTAATTAATTGAGAGATAAA